GTACAGCAACCCCAAGAACAAGTAGAAATAGTGAATAATGGACAGACCAGGAAAATCATACTCAATCGCGTGCATATCCGACAGATTTCCAAATTCAACTATCTTACTAACATTATGCGAATAAAATATATGTTTAATTTATGTTTTCCAAAGTATAAACAGCAACGCGCAATGCTTTCGGAAAATTAACTGTCTAAGGGAAAGCTATCGGTTGAACAAATACAGTGTTTACGAAGGGAAGAAAGCGAGGAATTCCACCCCTTGCTGGAAAGCTAGGAAATCCTGCGTATCCCGATTACAGTATTCACGGAAATGCAGAGAAAACTCCATTACGAGTTACCCTCGGTGTATTCTTCGCTTTGAAAACATTGCTTAGCTCAAACAGCGAGCGAAATTTCTATAGTATCATCGGTCTTTTCTAGCACAAACGAGGAAGAAACTTTAAATTTACTTTCGCATCCGGGAATTAATAAATATAATTGTTCAAATTTTTTCTACAAAGTTTCTCGTTACTTTGTTCGATAAACATGAAATTCATGCAATTCTCTCAACTACTATATTTGCAATAATTTCAAGGATGAAAAAGAAACTTTATTTTATTTCTGGTAACGAATTTATTTAATTCCGAGGTCGCTGAAAAGCTAATTTTTCGAATAAGAAATTATAATGCGAGACTATGAAAATTTCCTCCGTCGTGCTTCATTTTATATCGTTGACAGTGACTCGCGTTCTTTTTTTTCTTCTCGAGGCTCGACAAATTGATTTCACCGCGCGTCGGACGGTCGGCCGGAAATTGATTGAAACGGAAGCAGCCAGCGACCTACTAGCAAGCTGTCAGGTATCGACGTCGCTTCGTAAACTGCCAACTAGATTTTTGACCACGTGATTTCCCCTGACGGAATGTTTCGAACGAGTTTGCCAGCTCGCTCGTCTATCGACCCTCGGGGAACGGGTGGTTGGCGGCGATTCGATCGCTAAATATTGCGCGAGCACGGCAGCGCCAACGTCCTTGGGAAGCTCTTTTCCGTGAAAATGGAAATACCGGATGCCACGGGGCTCTAAACGGTATGCGAAAGCGGCATCGATTCGTTATAGTTTCGAGGAGAATCGTCTGTTACGAGCGCCCGGGGTATCGATCGTTGAACAAAACCCGAAGGCGACGCTACAAAACGGTAAAATTCGCTTCGCGGACTCCGCAACGTGCAACGATACGATAATAAACGACCAAAGAAACGCGAGCAACGATAGCAAATGGCTGGATTGGGCATTCGTTGCCTTGGGGACGATAATGCTAAGTATATAAACAATTTGAGTATGCAAAACAATGGTACGATAATAGCAGGAAAATTAACGAAGTTCATATATATTTCTGTTTGACGCCATTGCACGAGGGAGCGTAAGAGAATATTCAGGAAGTACTTTGATTCTTCTGCTTTCGTCGACGACAATGTTTGTTTCTAATTTTAAATAAAAATTTTTACAAATGACTGGATTGGGCATTCGTTGCCTTGGGGACGATAATACTAAGTATATAAACAATTTGGGTATGCAAAACAATGGTACGATAATGGCAGGAAAATTAACGATGTCACTCGATATATATATCTGTTCGACGCCATTGCACGAGGGATCATAAGAGAATATGTACTTTGGTTCTTCTGTCTTCATCGATGTTTGTTTCTAATTTTGGATACAAATTTTTACGATACATAAAATGTGTAATCTCGACACGACGTATTATTTTTTAACAAGAATCGATATCGATAGAAAGTTTGTTTACATCGTGGATATCTGTTTGTTTGATATATCGTGGAACGAACGATAAGAACTTTGGCCGCGGGAAAGAGACGGAGAGTGAATCTTGGCAGTCGAATGGAAAGTGCTAGGTTAGGTTGTGCCGACGACGGACAGACGGATCCATCGTGGATGGATGGATGGATGGATGGATAGAGATGAGAGCACGGCTCGAGGTTGGTCTCGTAAAATATGCAAGCTGCAATCACGTCTCTAGAATAGAAAAGGTCAGAAACACGGAGAACGAGTGGGAGAAGGAGAGTTTGGGCAAAGGAGAGGGAGCGACAGATAGACGGAGGCGAGCATGGTGGGGGGAGGGGGCGAGCGTGGTTGTGAAGTGAAACGTGGAAAAGGGAAAGGGGAAAGTGGGAAAGAATGGCGTGGGAGGGATGATAGCGACGTTGGGAGTAGAAGCAGAATACAGACAGATACTGTCGAGAGGGGTGGGTGGGAGGGGTGGACCCGGTGAAAGAGAAAGAGGGGGAGAGAATGAGACGAAAAAAGGAAAAGGAAAAGCTTCTGGTACCACCCTCCACGCGTTTCGAGGAGCAGCACCCCGTAATACTGCTGAAGCTGCGTGTCCCTCTCCCGATTCTCTCTGCTGCGTTCGCAAAAAATTTTCATAACTAACCGATCTACCGTTGTGATTTCGTGGCTCTTCTTTTGCGAGACCCATATATGCGCGTATTAATACGCGACCAGCCAGCGTCTGCACCATGCGACGCGAGATCTATTGCGTGGAACCGAGAAGTTGATATCTGGAAGGAACGCGAATTACAGTCTCTCGTAGACCTCGAATCGATATAAACACCAGCAACGCGTTTAAAAGTTCAACGAGGGTATCACGACTGAAAATTAATAAAACATAGATCATCGAATCTTTAACGTTTTTATTTCTATTAATTCGTAGGAATTGGATTCACGAATTCTCGATGAAACTTTCTAAGTCCGCTACGGTTTATAAATCTAACCAAGTTATTAAAATCGTTAAAAAATGTGGACTCTTGGAAGTTTCTGCCTTGCAATAGGAGAAGTAAATTTATGGCGCAATGGAAATGGATCCCAACTTGCATATTTCAAAATTTATACGACATTGAGCTAGTAAAGGCCGAGGCACACGCACCGTTTCAGATGTAGCGAGTCGAGAGCTCGGATACTATCATGCGCTGTACAGGCGTCGCCTTTGAAACATTTACACGGGTTGACTTAAACACAAATTCAACGTGGAAATTTTAAAAGATCATTAAATTATGTATTTCGACATTTTCCTGGCTGTATTACTTTTAATGTTTTATTCGATGATTAATTGAAACGTATGTAGAAAATGATATTGATAAGTTAAACAAACGTATAATTTCACAAGTAGATCGAACAAAATGCAGAAAAATAAATATAAATATGGAAAAACGTAAAGTATTATGCAATAATTGGAGCACGAAAGAGCGGAATAGATGAGATTGGCGAGAAGTCCAAACAGGTACAATTAAATTTTGCTGGTCGCATTAAAATGAGGTGAGAGTATTATCAATGTATTGGCGAGATTCTCCCGATGAAAACGAGTCCAAACACGACACCTTTCGGATCATTTTTAATTGTGCATAGTTGAGAACTTTTCAAAAATAATTTGAGTCAATTAAAATTAAAAGTAGTCCGAACCAGGTCGTGTTTGGATTCATTTTCATCGGGAGGATCTCGCCAATGCATTGATAATACTCCCACCACATTTTAACCTGACCAGCAACGTTACTTTCAGTAAAAATCTACTTCTCGCATTTCAAACTATTAACGCCAGATTTAGAAAGAAATTCGGTCGTGTAAGTTAATCTTAAAAATGAATAAGTTGAGAGATGACACTATGGAAAATTTAAAAAGCTATATTTAGATTTATATTTAATCTTTAAATAGTGTAATCGAACCTGTCGAGGGTGATCGATGACGTTATAGATAAATAATTTGCGAATAATTGATAAATGTGGAAGCACTGTCCGCGCGCGGCTCGACGTACCCGTAATGTGAAGTTGGCGGAAAACTGAATTAATGCAAATATGCATTATTGCGCGTTGTAAAGCGAAGTACTCCCCTGTTGGGTTTTGATACGAAACTGCATACATAGTATACTATGCCAGGTATACGCGGAGGTCGCTGTACCGTAATTTACAGGCGGGGTCGAGAATCCTGAAAATACTCTTTACTCTTCGCGTATCAACATCTCGGCGTCTACGCAATAGATCGGTGCACCGAACGAATCCGTGTTTTTCCCTCGCGGCGCGCAGTGTGGCGAGTATGTGGGAGTTCGGGACAAAATTAATAACTCCCAAACTATTCAATTTTCGACCTAAGGCCTCCAATACTTTTTCAAAGAGAATGCATCGATTGATGAAAAAAAAAAATACTGCAAAGTTGGTAAAAATTTAACATTAAAAATGGGTTACAAATTGTTAATTTTGAAAAGTCGTAGCTTATAAAAATCAAATTAGTTAGATAAATATTCGGCAAGTGGCATTTAAAAAAAAAAGGATCAAAAATTGGAATAAATTACGAGAATTATTTTTGACAATAAATTGGAAAATTCATTACAAATCGTGGGTGGTATTATAATCTACGTTCCTTTATTAATATTTTAAGATACAACAAGCTATGAATTTTAGACTTAAGTTTTTCGATCATTGTCCATTGCTCGTCGCACTGTGCGGCGTTCTCGCAACGAATCGCGTCGTTCGTCGAGCTTTGCGTTGAAGCAGCGAGGAAACAGCTGCGCATCGGTCGAAACAGATAAACAGGAAAAAAGGTAAAGTATATAACCCGTTGTTTTGCGTTGAGGCAAGTAACGACAGGGCGAGGAGGGGGTGGGAGGTGGGGGTGGTGGAATGAGCTCGGCGACTCTCCAGCATCGGGTAAGTGTAGTTGAAGGGATTCAGCTGGGAAAAAAACGCAAGCGAGTCTCGAGTGGCAGCACTTTGCTGAAATATGCACGATCTAGGCGGGAGTTAGCGGTGCCATCTCGCTGCTTACATAATAATAAGTGTAAACGTCCGTCTCGAGGGACGCGATCGAATTGGCCCGCGACGAAACGTGCCAAATTGCCGGGACCGTGCTATCCGCCTTCCGCGTGTCTCGCTTTTCGCGTGCCTCGCTTATACGCTTTCACCATTCCCGTCGAAGACCGCCAAGTACCGAAATTTCATAGAGCACTTCGCATGTTTCAGGCCAGGGGCGGTCGATGCCTGATGGCGTGGTTTGGAACGCAACGCTGGAGAAATCCTGCTCCAGAGTAAGTAGATTCCCAGCAAGAACGTATCTCGCGCGGCGCGGTCCGTTTTCTCGATTTCTAACTGTCACGGCCGATTCCGAACCGATTATCTTTTCTTGCGCGGTTAACCGAGGTCGAAGAAACGACGGCCATCTTGGGGGCCGACGTCGGTTCGATCGTGGAGCCGTTTAGAGAACGCGTTAAAAACGAAAGAGCAGCAGAACGGCGGGTTCTTGCCGGCGATCGCGATAATCGATGGATAGGCTGACACCGAGCACCGTCCGCGCCCACCTTTCGGGATCGATCCGAACACGGAAGACTGAAGTCTTGTCAGACAGAAGCATCTTTGATCAAAGACGGTCTCGATTGGATGCGCTGTCGTGATTTTGATTATGAATAATCGAGGACCCGTGTCTGAGGAAATTTGCCTCGTAAGCAGCATTGTACTATAATGGATAGAACCCCGTGCATCCGTGATCGGTGTCTTCGTTGGTCGGAATGGACGAATCGGTACGTTGTGTTATCGTACGCGGTGATCGCAAATCGGATTCGCTCCGTGATCCGTTATACGAGAGAGTACCGTTTACCCCCCCTCAGGATTGATCATTTTTTTCTTTATCTCGAGCTCGGAGCGAGCCAGAGACGGGAACTCGAAAGATTCGTCACGAGGTAGACGACTCTGATTCGTCGATATATTTCACACCCTCTCGAGCAAGATCGATTTACCAGACAAATAAATATTTTTTTGTCTCGCGTTATCTTTAACCTTTCAATAGGAACAATAATCGATAGTAAAGTTGCAACTGTGTAATAACAGATTTTATAGATCTCGTGTTCTCTAAAAGTTCTTCCACGATTGAACGGAGAACAATTTTACCACGTAGAAACGAGTTCAAAATTATCGAACATGTGTATATGTATGTTGTGTATTCATAGCGAACCACTCCTTAGTCTTCGAAGTATGGCACAAAGCATTGTCTTGTTGAAATATATAGACCTTATATTCCGATTCAAACACGTTATGGATCGATGGCTCCGGAACTTCTTCCAACATGTTTGTATACGATTCCCTATTCATTCGACTACCACGCATAAACGCTTCTAGAACTTCTGATGCTGCCTCAAACCGTGAAACTTCCACCGTCATATTTTACTATAACCGTAATACAGTCAGGACGATACGCTTTCTCAGACGTACAGTATTTCACTCGCGTGGGCGGGGTTGTATCTTCGATACGGTTCCAGACGAAACAACATTTTTGCAGTAAATTTTCAATGTAATAGAAATTGCATTTTTCTATTAGTTTCAGACATTTTTCTACGTTAATGTAATCGTTAAATCGGAAGTATACAATTTGTCTCTTATTATTTAGATAGTCGAAAAGCGAATACTTCAGTTTTCTTAGTTGTTTGCATACATCGATCGATTTCTCATACAGTTTCATTTGAGACAAGAAGTACAGTTGCTCTTCACTTTATAAATATTTCTAAATAAAATTTAAACATCTAATGTCGATGTTGATTAAATTTCATTGACATTCGTATTCACTTCAACTCGATATATCGAATAGAAAAATTTCACTCTTCTTTGCTCATCTTCACTTTCTTTGAAAAAAGCATTTTCGTTCTCCCAGACCTTTAACATTAAACCTATCGCGACCGTTTTTAAAATTTCGTTTAGAATTTCTAACACACAACATTATTTTAGCGCCATTTAACTTTACGACTTCTCTTATAATATACGTACAATGAATTTTACAATATTCACTTTTATTCTTATTGTTTGTTTTCTGAGAAAAATATGTAGTCTTGCTTACCACGACCGGTTGAACGATTTATATATTTTTTTGTAAAGAACTGGACAAAATTTGGTATCAAATTTTGGTTAGCTTCCGATGTAAATGGGAAATATAATATAGCAAAGATGGAAGGAGAGAATCTTCAGTTTCCACTATCTTAGAACAGTCTAACAACGCGTATTAAAAGTAGTTAAACTTTAGACGCGTGCAGTTCCGAAACTACTAGTGTTTTATTTATAATTGGAACACTGTTGGCAGCAGTGAAGCTTCCTCTTTAAAATGGCTTTTGGTTTTTGTCGATCCGACTTTTCGTTTTCGAGATATCGCAATTTAAGTGAAAGATAATTTTTTTAATTCGACTGTCGCTGTCTTCGTCTGACGCGTCGCGTCGGACCTCTCGCTCGCACGTGAGTCGAGACAGTCGTGACCAGGAAGTTGTAGTATTTCCAAGAATTTACTACCCACTGTTCACTATTTTCACGCGCGCGCGCGGTCATTGACCTCGCGTCAATGAAACGTAAACAAACGCTTCGAACCCTTCTATCTCCGGAACTAGCCACCGCATCGATTTGAAACTAAAATCCTCATATCTTCGGAACTAATTACGCTATCGACTCGTGCAAACACTCATTTTAAAGGGCATTTCATCCCCTATCCAACGACTATACCAGCTATTATAATTTATGCCATCTTCTATGTTTATTTTGCAATTTACTTTGACGCTACATATCCAAAGAAGTTTCAGCAATTCCTACTGATCGTACGACTAGTGTACGATAAAACTGGACCATAAATTGCCTATTTAATTTAAAATGAATTAAAATCTGTATACAGGGTGTTTGCATAATTGACATGCCATTTTTTTATAGATAATACAAAATTCATTCTGAAGGACGTTTTATCCCCTATCCGAAAATTAAAAAATTTCGACGTTGTTTGTAAATTTTCTGCACGAAGTTAAAGTACTGATCTCTTACGAATGAACATAAAAACACAACTTTCTATACACACGATGCAAAAATTAGAAGTACGTCGCCTCGCGAAAGAGAAAAAGAAGGACTGGTCATTTGACCGGTCATGGTAGAAATGGGTGTACGCGAAGTGTCGGTAGGTTTGGTGTTAAGGTCGTTCCATCCATTGTTTCAACGTCTGTATGCAGGCACAGGCGTTGAAACGTCTCGTTAACGGCAAATGCTTTTGATCGCGACCCCGAAGAAAGCGAACAGACGAAAAGAATACGGTTCTTCCGTTTCCGTGATCCGATTAATGCGCGATGCAACGGGTACGGATTAATTATCAGTTATTGCTCTTCACGGAGAGGAAACGGGAACGAGAATGGGAATGGAAACGGGAACGCGGAAAAGAGTGGCGGAGGGTAGCCTGTATGGGGCAGCAGACCAATTAACTACTTAGGGCGGCTTTCATCGGCTCGACAATCAGTCGGATCGATTCGGGGTGAATAACTCTTCTAGTCGTGGCTGCGTACCAACCGATATACCGTGCGTAGAATCTATGAAACAGGTAGATACGCGGCTCTGCATCCGCTCTTTCGCTCTTTAGATTCTTTTCAGAGCCCCCCCGGTCAGTTGCCGATCGTCCTTGGCGGATCGTGTCTATCATCTATTGACGCGAAAAGATCTTGTTGCATCGCGACGGATAAATAGACAAACGGACGGAGGAACGGCGGGGATGGAGAGCCCCGCAGAAACGGCTTTTTATTTCGATACCCAATGGATTTGTTCGTTTGCCGACTCGAAGGAACGTAATCTCGCAGAAAAGGCGGGCACCGTCGTTCGATACGTTTCCCCGGCTCGTTCTATTCGTCGTCGGTCGCATATTTCAATTTAATCGCTTGGCGAATAAAGACTGTGAAATATCGCTGAAAGCCTTTTCGTTTCGGCGTCTTTATTCCTTTGGAAGACGAGGAAACGCTCAGGAACAGATAAACTCTGCTTCCTTACTGCCGTATCGTCCGGGGGTCCTGTTACCAGTTTCGAAAGGATTGCATCGATAATTTAGCGGACGACGAGAAACTGACACGGTTATAATAAATTGGTATGCATACAGTTTGGTGATAACAATGATAACTTAAAAAATAAAATTCTCTACTTAATACTTCGTCTGTTATTCATAGAATAGTATTCCTTTTAGATAGCTTTATGAAAACGTTTCTGATTACAATTTTATCTGGATGATTAATTGCACATCTCATAACTCAAAATTTCATCATTTTGTTTCTTTTCTTTTTCACTTTGGTTTTCTTTCGAGTAACTAGAGATTAAAATTTTGTTCACGACCTCATGATTTAGTACCAAAATACCTAGGTATCACAAAAACAACCTCATTATTCTGCAAACTGCACAAATATAGTTTAAACGATACTATATATAAACTTGTGAATATTAAGATGCAGCTACTCGTTTCGAAATCTAACCTCAATAGTGTATATTTAACACTTCAGTGTGCAATTTTAGGAACGATGTCAGAAATATAGAAGAAATTCCAGAAAATTACAACCATACATATTTCAATAATTTTTATTGCAAATAATTATTAGCGTAAAAAATTTATTAGATGAAGACAAAAATACGAAATGAAATATTTTTCATGAAAGTAAAACTAAGACGAATGAGTGAAAAGGTAGGAATTATTGATACAGATGTATTTTATTATTGAATAAGTGACGGTACGTTTAATCAATTTCCAATTATTCTATTATTATTCAAGTGTGACAATTGATACACTTCAAACGATCTGCAATTTTGTACGAATCAAATACCTACGAAACTAATTGCATTGCTATTTTTCATTTTGACCTAAAAACGGTATTAAAAGGTATTCTCATTTGTCATATGTTTGCTAATATCTCTGAAACTATAAGACAGTCCCTAATGCCCTACATGACTGTGATGAAAGATTGCAAGAAAATTTCCCCTGTAGCATACTTAATTTCGATAATTAACTACAATTTTATTACAGCAAATTATAAATTATAAATTACCACGTCTCTTCTTCTATACCTGGAATTAAAATGAAAATGAACAAAAAGTAATTATAAATATACAACGAGGGTAATATTATTACTCCATAAATTATAATTTATAATTTACTTTACTGTATTTTCGGATATCAAGATATTAAAAATTACGAGTCAAACATTTTAGGTAAACATGTTTGGCAGTCGATGTACCGTGAGTAAAAATGATACCTAATCCTCCAGAA